AGTGTGTTAAAAGATGTTTTTAATTACATTTCAAAGAATGACAAAAATATTTTTGAGTCAAGAATCATTCCATCTATTGGAACAGTTGGAGGTGGATTATCTCCACGTTGTTGGTGGGGGTTTTATGGAAAATTATTAAATAGACAACAATTAAATAAGTTTCTAAAAGTACAGAAATTTTCAAAATTTATTAGGTGTGGAGATGTTGCACAATGTGATTGGATATCTGCAACTCATGAAAATGAATATATTCAAAATTTAGGATACCACTTTGGTAGAGATTCAAAGATATTAAGAAAAGATCCTCGGTTCTATTAAAGTATGTCATTTAATTTCAAGACAACCAAAAGATTAGAAGAATTTTTATTCTAAGTTTATTTTCTATTATTCTTTGTTAAGTTTTTTTGATTCTTTTTTAATAATATTAGAATAAGAAAAATCAATTAAATTAAACTATCGTTTATCTAGTATATTTATTTCAAATTACCGATTATTCTAATCATCTTAGTAAATTGTATTTATTAAAATATCGCTTTCTCATTATTTCTTTTAAGAGTTATCATTTTAATTATCCAAATTTTATTAATTTATATGACTATTTTATTTATCTCAAAATAATATCTTATTTATTATTACATTAAAAAGTCTAAGAAAATAGGTCCTAAAATACATTTTGAAATATATTTTTCTTTGAACATAACACAGGTTTACTTCTGTGAAGTTTAAATCTATGTAATGGAATTTGTCTTCTTTGTTATAAGTTTTAATAAATGTTATAATTCTTTTTTTTAAATTCTTCACGATTTTTATTGAATTTGGTAAGTAGTATAAACCAGTTGAATAAAAACATGAAACTATGTACTTTTTTAGTCATTATAATTTCTGTTTTATGTTGAAATTGGATAATTTATGTTAAATTTAATTTATCAAAAGAATATAACAATACATAGAATAAATAACATTGACCAATAAATTATCAATTTGATAGTGTTTATAAACCTATTAATATAAAAAATAAACAAAAATTTATTATTAGTTTGTAGTTATTTGTAGGAATATTATTTGGTATTTATTTGATTTGTGGAATTGAGAATATATATTTTCTAGAATATTTTTGATGTAAAGTAAGAAAGTAGAGATAATAACAATAACTATTTTATTATTATTTTGAATGTTATTTATTTCAAATATATTAGCATGAAAAGTAAATAAATATATTATTCAGTAATAAGTTATTATAATTTTTAATACTTTATTCATTTTAATTAAATTGTTATATTGATATTTATACC